CTCCAAGTTCCTGTGGAAAGGAATGGGAAAGAGTTGAACCAACAGGAACTAGGAATTGCCTGTTCAGTAAAAAGTTTTGAATAAAAATAGGAAGATGGCCATGCAACCCATAAGAGCGGAGGTTCTGCAAAATTCCATACCTCTTCTAAGAATCAAGTCGAATCAGATGGTCCATGGTGGAGTGCTGTCGACGGAACCCACACTGGGTGGATGATAGGAGCGTGTTCGATTCAAGGAACCAAACAAGATGACCATTAACCATCCTCTCTAGGACCTTACAAAGACAACTAGTCAAAGCAATGGGATGATAATTAAAAGGAATCTTGGGAACCTTCCCAGGTTTAGAGAAAGGGAGGACAATAGCCTGGTGCCAAGCATCAGGAAAAACACGCTCCTGCCAGATCCGGTTAAAAATAACCAGAAGAATAGCAAGAGAGGCAGGAGAGAGATGGCGCAACATCTCATAATGAACATCAGGTCCGACCGATGTACTACCAGACAGATGAAGAGCAAGTTTGAGTTCCACCAGTGTAAAGAGGCAATTATAATCATAGAGACGATCAGCCCGAAAGGAAAGAGGTGATCGCTCTGCCCAAGACTTGATGGCCAAGAAGGCAGGGGAAGAAACAGAAGTGCTAGAAGCATGAGAAAAGCTGTGGCTGAGAGCATCAGCAATGCTCTGGACTATTGGAGAGCAAGATGGAGAGGGGATGGGAAGCATACCTCCCAGTGACTTTCCAAATCTTGTCCTATACAGGTTTGGAACTGGTGGTAGAAAAGATGCTAGTAGTGAACTTAATCCAAGACTCCTTTTGGCTTTGATGTTGAACCTGCCAAGCATAGGCATGGGCCCACTGATAAACAATGCAGTTAGAAAGAGAGGGATACCTTTGGAAGGTATCCCAGGCCCGTTTTTGAGCCTTCCATGCCTCCTGGCAGGCAGGACTCCACCATGGAAAACATGTCGAAGTCTTAGGAATAAAATGAGCAGCCACCTGGACAATACAGTCAGTCACTGCAACCACACAGTCATCTATTGATGGCAGACAAACGAAGGCAGGATGAACTTCAGAGAGAGAGGTGACAGATGGCCAGTGAGCCTGGTCCAGCTTCCACTGTGGCACTCGGTTTGGGTGGCATCGACCATGGCCAACCTCCCTCATAACGATAGGAAAATGATCAATGCCCCGTGGGTCACTGTCGACCATCCAAGAAAAGCAAGTGAAAAGTGAAGAGCCTCTGGATAAGAAATGTTGTGAACAGTCTTCAAACGCTGTACCTCTTTCTCCTCCAAGAGGCAAGACCTAAAGTAAGAGAGGTAGGCACCACTACAATTAACACAGTGAGGGTCCAGTTTGCATTCGTAGGCGTCGTGGTCCTTGCCACCACAATGAGCACACGTCACAGAACCACGACAAGATGTCTTCGAATGACCGAACCTCTGGCACTGAAAACATCAGAGAGGGTTGGGAATATAGGGCTGTACCTTACAGTTCAAATAACTTGCCTTAACAGCGACAGGTGGACGTGGTGATGAAAACATCAAAATCAGAACTGAGGTTGGCACCACAATACCATCTTGA